TTTCAAAACAAACAAACAAAAAGCTATATCTGAAAAAAAATGTATCTAGAAACTTCTCCACTGGTTAGATATCTTGGCTCAAAATTGTTATTAAGTGCTCAGATGACTTAAATAAACAAACAAAACACAGGGCCCAGTCTATTAAGTAGATGCAGCACGATAAGGAAGTAAATTTTATTAGCATCCATGAAATCTCACATTAAGCTCTTAGCATCTATCATGACAGTAAAATAAATCAGCTTTTAGCCACACTTTAAAAAGTTTCCAGATTCTTAAACTATCTTGAGCAAAATCTAAATAGTGATACCATTGCTGATGCTTGGACACGTAGAACTGAGGAAAGCAGGAGTTAACATGAAAAGGTTGATATGTTATCACTCTAACTTCAAAAATAAAAAGTAGGTGCAGTTTTACCTTGTCTTTATCATTACAAAGTAAGCAATCAACTAAGGACCCTTCATTAATTTCTCTAGAAAATCCTGATATTGTTCTATTCCATGATTCATAGCTGGCTACAAAGTTTACTTAACATGTGTTTCAGGTTATACCACTTTTCTAGTCCCTTGGTTACTGTATATACATTTTAGAAGTATCACTGATTGTATTTTCAAGCCCATCAAATGAACAGCTCATCATAGGTTCATTTAGTGAGGTATGAATAGAAGTTATTAATAGAAGCAGGGTTGGGCCAGGCATGGTGGCTGATCCTTATAATCCCAGCACTTTGGGAGACTGAGGCAGGCAGATGGCTTGAGCTCAGGAGTTCAACAGCAACCTGGACAACATGGCTAAACCCCGTCTCTACAAAAATACAAAAATTAGCCGGGCATGGTGGGGTGTGCCTGTGGTACCAGTCATTCTGGGGACTGAGGTGGTATTGCTTGAGCCTGGGAGGTGGAGGTTGCAGTGAGCCGAGATCATGCTGCTGCACTCCAACCTGGGTGGCAGAATTAGGCCCCATCTCATATATAAATAAATAAAAATTTTTTTTTAAAAGAAGGGTTATCAGAACTTATTAGCTACATAAGCAGAAAAATTAAAATTAAAATTAAAAAGTTACAAATAAGAAGTTACTAACATCAGTGTCACTAAAATTGGTATACAATCCCCTACTGCTAAATTTGACTGGCTTAAGAAAAAAAGAAGCAGTGGCAACATCTCACTATTGCCTCACTTTATGCAACATGCATCTTGGCAAAGCTGGCTATGAAATACATGTCTACAAAGTGAATCATCTTTTACCCTCAATGAAAATCAGAGCTGCATCCCCTACCTGAAAATCCCAAGTGTTCAGTTGAAAAGTTTTTCATTATAAGGGCTAAGTAAAGCTGCTGGCCAGCTGTGCAGCAGGCAGGCTGGATCTGATATTAAGGCACACCAACCTGCGGAGACTGAAGTCTCCTGGGGTTCTCATTCCCCTCAGAGCACATTAAGAATTTTCCCCCTTCTGGAATTTCCCAGATGTTGAACCAGCCATCAGAACCTCTCACCTGCCCTGGTGTCCACTATGCCCCAACTCTAAATGCATGCTTTCCAAAATTTGACTCCTTTCCTTCTCTTTGTAGGGGAACATGTATATTTAATTGGGCAAGTTGAGCACTTCACAATTTATCACTATGTGCTCCTTTCTAGTTCACGGTGAACAAATCATATAAAAATGCCTTCAGTTTAAAGTAGCAACAACTACAACCACGTGGTTCCCAAGGTTTAAAAGTTTGTATATTGGGCAAAGACGGTTGAGATGTTTATACATTTCCTGATTTCAAGAATATTCATGTCCTGGTTACTTAACACATACATTGTAGCTGTTTTTAATTTTAGGGCAAATCCCTTTATATTTCCCAATCATGAGCAGTTTAATAGTACTATTAATTCATTCAACACTTATTGAACAAATATTATAGATTGCCTACTGTGTGTCAGGCACTGTTCTAAGGTGCTGGAGAGCCAACAATAAACAAAGCAGGCAACCATCCCCATGAGGGAGAGGTGAGTTACACTGCAGGGAGGCAGAAAACAATAAAGACAAGTAAGTAACATGTATAGTATGTTAGGTGGCAGTAAGTGTTACAGGGAACAATAAAGAAGGAGAGCAAGAAGTACTGAAGGTGGGGTGCAATTTTACATATTTTATAAAATTGTTTTGATAATATCATCAGGAAGTATTTGTCTTAGTTTTCACTTCTTTTTAAAAAATTCTGACACATAAACATGAAAATGTGGACAGACAAGTAAGTTCCTCTTTACAGTTGCAGGTACCTCTTTTATCAAGTACTTACTATCACCTTAGTCTAGAGGCATGGTAAACTAAAAGCCAGGGAAGGTGAAATAGCCTGATAACAACGTGTCCAGAAACCACACAGTTGTTCCGGTAATTTTTACAGGAACTAGATATAATATAACCATTTGCAAGAGGACATTTCAAAATTATTTACTAAAATCAGTATGTAGTATTTCCTTCTATTTTTTTTCATGAAGACACTTACTAATATGCTATCCACCTACTTCATATTGGTAAATGTGACCATAATACTGATGAATTTTAATGTCTTTTAAAAAGTTAGGATTGCATACTGCTGTTATATTAAAAGAATAAACAGTCTCTCCAAAAAAACCCCCAATATGATTCCCACTCACAAGTAAGAACAAGAAGGGAAAATATTGGTGGGAAGGAAGCTAGATTGTCGGGTGAAGGTAATGGTGGGAACAGTAAAGGAATGCTCTAGTTAGGACTCCTGCAGGTCATTGAGTACAACCCATAGAAGTGACATTGAGTCTTGCTAAAAGATCCACCTGAAAGATCATGCTTTGGTGAGCAGTGGTGGCATTATGAATCTTTGAAGGTCAAATGACATATAATCATTTTTCACGTCTAACATTTACTTTCTTAGTTTTGCTAACAGGTATACTTTCTAGCATAATAAATCACTGACTAAAGAACATTTGAAAAGGAGAAAAAAAAAAAAAAACTCTAACACTAGTAAGAAAAAAAGTCCAGTGATAGTACCAAAAAACAAAGAGGGCAAAGAAAACTATGGATAAAGCTATTCCAAGAATTGATAAGGCTGGGTGTGGTGGCTCACACCTGTAACCCCAGCACTTTGGGAGGCCAAGGCAGGAGGATCACTTGAGCCCAGGAATTCAGGACCAGCCTGGGCAACATAATAAGACCTTATCTTTATTATAAAATAAATAAATAAGTAAATAAAATAATTGATAGGTGTTGGAGTACAATACGAACTAGGTACCGAAACAGATGATGCAAGGGAAATACTCAGGGCAGCAGTGATATCATCATAAAGAGCATAGAAAATAAAACATTTTAAAAGTATAATAGGTTGCCATAAACTTATGTGAAAATGAAGACCATTGTCTATAAACTGTTCACAGTTACAGATAAAATTAGAAGGGGTGTCTAGTCATTATGCAACCCTTAATGGGAAACACTTCATTTGCTTCTCCCATACTGGAGCCTCCTCTCCCTTCCCATTCTTCAGGGACTAGACCTGAGAGAAGAAATCCTGAAAGAGAACTGCAGACTTCACTGTGGGGTTTGTGCCAGGCACCTTTTGGTCTGTGGGGTCCTAAAATTCAGCTCCCCCTCACATCTAGAGTCTCAAAGTGATCCAGTCCCAGAGTTTGAAATTCTTCAGCCCAGAGTGGGATGTATTTTTCCAATTCATCAGCCAAAAGGAACGGATCTCCTAAAAATTCTCACAAAGGCAAAAAGTGGCCCTGGGTACCACAGATTAATGACTGAGACATCTATTGGTGTCATTATAATTGCCATTATATGTGTCACCTGTTTTCATTCCCTTTCCGTTTCCCATCCTTTGCTGTTTCCCTCTACCTATGTCCTAGGCTTGTATAAGTTGTGTTTGGCTCTGGCTGGCAGCACACACAGAGAGCTAGTTTGCTAACCTTAATTAATGACATCAGGATATATGTGACTATATATAGCTTACCACTAACTATGTGCCAAGCACTTTGCTAAATGTTTTACAAGTAGGATCTAATTTAATTCTCATAGCAACCTTGTGACATTTTATCTCTATTTCACAAATGCAGAAACAGGCCCTAAAAGGTGAAGTATCCTGCCCAGGGTCATACAGCTAACAGCCTTCATAGCCTAGATTTGAAACCTAGGTATCTGGCTTATCCCAAAGAATAACGTTCTTTTACATTAAGCAATAAAGCCTGTGCCATAAAACCATACGAACTTGAATTCCAAACCCCAATGCCACCACTTACCAGTTGTGTAATCCGATGAGTTATTCAACCTGAGTTTCCTGGAGAACGAAACAGAGTAACATCACTTCAATAAGTGCTTGGGAGCGTTAAATAAGCTAACATATAAAAACTGTCTAGCACAGTTGTTGTGGGGCATTGCAATCAATAGTTACAATATTCAATCCCGCCCTTCCCTCTATTTGATTATCCATTATGGAGGCGGCCTCAAAAAGACAACGCTAAGGATATGCAAAAAGTGCAGACGATCATTAAGCGCAACATAAATGGCTGGTCTGCTCGGTCCCAACGGGTTCTGGCCCTGCGCTTCCTCCACAATCCTGGTGTAGGGAACCCAAAACACTAGACAGAAGAAGCTTGAAGCTGGAGGAGAAACGGGAGCTGCTGGACTACTACTCACAACCTCCTTGTTTACTCTGAAATCAGGAGTCACCTCTTCCCACCTCATCTCTGCCAGCTTCTCGGGTGCTCTGAAGCGCGCGCCCCCTGCTCAATTGGGCACTGCCTTCACCACTGACGTGGTGTGGGTACCCTATCCCTCTCCCCGCGTGGTGCTGCAGTGATTTCGGGCCTGTCACCCTTCTCTGGGCCACAAGCCCGACCCTCTCCGCCCAGGGAAGGAGGGCGGATCCCAGCCTATCCCTAGCCCCAGGTGCGCGAGCGCCAGGCCCAGGCGGGGCCTTGCGGCCCAGAGCTGAGCCCCGAGCCCGGGCTCCTCCAGAAGGCGCCGGCGGTGCTTGGGCCCCGCCAGGCCGCGCGACCTAGCTCGGGAGCCCCCCGCGCGACCTGCAGATCCCCGGCTACGGAGCACTTCCAGCACCAAGGCCCGGCGGGACCTGCCGCACGGAGCCTGCGGGCTTAGATTCTCCAGGCCAGGATTTTCCTTTTCCCCCGGGCGGTACCGTTGCTGGGCTGCTGCCTCACCGGCCCAGGAACTGGGAGAGGCCCGCACTCACGTGCGAGTCTTAGAGGTGGAAGTCGAGCGACGGTGGAGAACACGCCAGCAGCGTCCGGAGCGCTGCCGGGACCGCAGGAATTCAAGAGAACCTAGGGCCGGACTGGCAGAGCAAGGGGGCGGGGCGGGGCTGGGAGGGGGCGGGTCCAGTGTGCGCCCAGCCCCGCACAGCCTGCGCGAGGATCCGCCCATCCACAGGGAGCTGACTCTGGGCTGCAGGTCCGCTCCCTGCCAGTAGGCTGGCGCTTCAAGGCTACTCTGAGGGTCAGTCGCTTACTGAAAAGGCAAAGCTGACTTTAAGGTAAGTGGTTTGGTGCACCAAAACAAATTCCTTAAGGATTAAATAATTTAAATATTTGAGAAAATTTATACCATATCTGGACTGAGAAGACTGGGCGCCGTGGCTCACACCTGTAATCCGAACATTTTGGGAGGCAGAGGTGGGAGGATGGCTTGTGCCCAGGAGTTGGAGACCAGCCCAGCCTGGGGCAAAAAAATGAGACCCCCTCCACCGATGCAAAAAGTAAAAAAAAATAGCTGGGCGTGGAGGCACGCGACTGTGGTCCTAGCTACACGTGAGGCTGAGGCAGGAGGATCACGGGCTCAGGCCGCAGTGCGCCATGTTCGTGCCTCTGCACTCCAGCGTAGGTGACAGAGAGACCCTGTCTCAAAAAAGAAAAAAAAAAAAAAGTTACTAAGACAAATTATCAACATGAAAATAGCGAAATACATCTTAGCTCTTAACCATGCTTATATGCTTATTTAGGGCATTCTTAATGTACACACTACCAAGGACATTTTATATCCTTCATTACCTTTAATCCTTATGATTTTGTGATGTATTTGGTACCAGTATCCCCATTTTACAAATGAAAACTGCATTTGAGTAACATGAGATTTGAAAGCTAAATAATTGGCCTACTTTTCTGAAGTCACAGATTGTAAGTAAACTAACTTCAAAGTGCAGGCTGGACTGCTTGCTACTCCATGCTGCCTGCAACTAAACAAAACGCTATGGAAAATATTGATACATGACTGCTCGATAATGTAGAACTTCTTCCCAAGGAAACAGGGACAAAATCAATAAAACACATTAGGAAAAATATTGGTCCCAAACCTGACAGAGTTACTATCTTAAGTTCATTGATTTTTTATTTTTATTTTTTTGAGATGGAGTTTCACTCTTGTTGCCCAAACTGGAATGCAATGGCGCAATCTCAGCTCACCGCAACCTCCGTCTCCCGGGTTCAAGCAATTCTCCTGCCTCAGTCTCCCGGGTAGCTGGGATTACAGGCACCTGCCACCATGCCCAGCTAATTATGTATTTTTAGTAGAGATGGGGTTCTCCATGTTGGTCAGAGGTCTTGAACTCCCAACCTCAGGTGATCCATCCATCTCAGCCTCCCAAAGTGCTGTCATTACAGGCGTGGGCCACCGCGCCTGGCCTCTTAAGTTCATTTAAATTGATAAGAAAAAAAAAATAGAAAAATGGGTGAAGGGTTTTATTTTTTTTAATTACAGAAGAAATGGAAAGGGTATCAAATGAAGAAACATAGACATTCCTAAGTAAAAACTTTACTCTTAATCCAAAAAATGCAAACTAAACATTTAAATTTTATTTATTTTTAAGAAATGGGGTCTCACTATGTTGCCCAGGCTGGTGTCGAACTCCTGAGTTCAAGTGATCTGCCAGTCTTGGTCTCCCAGAGTACTGGGATTACAGGTGTGAGCCACCGTACCTGGCCTGCACATTTTTAAAATCATATCAGTGCCAGTGAGGATTCATTTATTTATTCAGCAAACACATCCTGATTGCCTACTATGTGCATTGTTCTATACTTGTGAGCAAGACAGATAGGAACTTCTATCCTACAGGAGGGTTGAATAATAAGTTAGTTGTTAAAGACAAAATGAGATTTCAGACAGCCAGAGTGCCATGATGAAAGTTAAGGCAAGGTGATGTGTTAGAGGGACTTGAGGATAGTGTGAGCTTATTTAGACTGGGGATCAGAAAAGAGCTCTCTAAGATGGTATTTGACCTGAGATTTGAAAAATAAGAAGCAGCCAGTTATGCAAATATCTGGGGCACAGGAATGATAGCAGGGGCAAAAAGACAAGAACAAACTGCAAGTGCGGAAACAAGGCCTTTGTTGCTGAAGTGTACTGGGGAGGTACTAGAAGTGTTTTTGTTTTTACTAAAGGTTTTTGGCTCTATTTTTGATTCTGCCTTCATATGTAAATGAACGTTCTCAGGCATCACTAATTGGATTGCAAATTTCAAATTTCCCAGAATATATAGTATCCATACCCAACCTTCAAAACTTTTCTTTCCACTAAAATAGGGAAAGAGTGGAGGCAAGGGGATAGTTTTGTACTTTTAGTATCCAAACAGCAATCTATCATTTAAATACATAGTACCATAGCTATTCAATGCATTTATTCATTCTCCTTGAGTCTAAATCCCATTCTACTTTTGTTCTTATTCATTCACCCATTAATTTAACATGTGTTGAATTAGATACCAAGCCTAACAAGGTTCTAGAAATAAAACAACACCTGGTGGAGAGTTAAATGCATGTTAAAATGAATGAGATATTCACAAAATATTCTTTCTCCTATGTATTTTGATCGTCATATTTCTATCTTCACTCTTTCAGTCACATTTTTAATTACCTCATCCTGTCTTATAGCTTTTTTTTTTTTTTGAGACAGGTTCTTGCTGTCACCCAGGCTGGGGACGCAGTGGTGCGAACATGATTCACCACAGCTTCAACCTCTCAGGCTAAAGTGATCCTCCCACCTCAGCCTCCTGAAGTAGCTGGGACCTACAGGCACGAGCCACGGCGTCTGGCTAATTTTTGTACTTTTTGTAGATATGGGGTTTCACCATGTTGCCCAGGCTGGTGTCAAATTCCTGAGCTCAAGAAATCCACTGGCCTCAGTCTCTCAAAGTGCTGGAATTATAGGCATGAGGCACCACGCCCAGAGTTAGTCTCAGAGCTTTGAATTCCATCTGTATTTTCTCTCTCTCTTTGTTTTTTTTGTTTGTTTGTTTTTTGAGATGGAGTCTAGCTCTGTCGCCAGGCTGGAGTGCAGTGGCGTGATCTCGGCTCACTGCAACCTCCGCCTGCTGGGTTCAAGTGATTCTCCTGCCTCAGCCTCCCAAGTAGCTGGGATTACAGGTGCGTGCTACCACACCCAGCTACTTTTTTGTATTTTCAGTAGAGACAGGTTTTCACAGTGTTAGCCAGGATGGTCTCGATTTCCTGACTTCGTGATCCACCTGTCTTGGCCTCCCAAAGTGCTGAAATTACAGGATGAGCCACTGCGCCTGACCTTTTTTTGTATTTTGAGTAGAGACGGGGTTTCACTATGTTGGCCAGGATGGTCTGGATCTCCTCACCTCGTGATCTGCCCGCCTCGGCCTCCCAAAGTGTTGGGATTACAGGCATGAGCCACCGGGCCTGGCCACTTTTCTTTTTTTCTTTCTTTTTTTTTTTTAAGACGGTGTCTCACTCTTTGCCTGGACTGGAGTACAGTGGCGTGATCACCGCTCCCTGCAACCTCGGACGCCTGGGCTCAAATGATCCTCCCAGCTCATCCTCCTGGGTAGCTGGGACTACAGCATGCACCACCACATGCAGCAAATTAAAAAACAAGAAACAAACAAACAAACAGAAACATTTTTTTGTAGAGACAGAGTCTCACTATGTTGCCCAGGCTGGTCTTGAACATCCTGGGCTCAAGCTATTCCCCGGCTTTGGCCTCCTGAAGTGTTGGGATTACAGGTGTGAGCCACTATGCCCAGCCTATATTGTTAAGGTTATCAAACTTCCACACCTTTCCTCTGAAACTCCACGCTCAAACTCTCTATGCTTTACTCGGTTGTTGTATTAGTTATCAGTTGCTCTGTAACAGATAACACCAAATTTAGTGGCTTAAAACAGGAACAATCATTTATTATCTGTCATAGCTTCTGTGGTTTAGGAATTTAGAAGTGGCTTGGCTGGGTGGTTCTGGCTCATCGTCTCTCTTGATGTTGCAGTCAGATTTTGGCCAAGGCTGCAATCATCTGATGGCTTGACAGGGGCCCAAAAGTTCAATTGTGCCAAGGTTGAGAAACCCTGCTTTAAACCAATGGGACTATACATTTAAAAAATACTAATGTCATGAAAGACCAAGGCTGACGATTTAAAGATTTAAAGAAAGTAGAAACATAACAAATGCAAGATGTTATCAAGATTTGATCTTGAATTTAGAAAAAAAAAAATCATTAGCATAAAGGACAGCATTGGGAAGTACACAAATTTTGTATATTAAATAATAGTATTCTGTCAGTTTCAGTTTCCTGAATTTGATAGTTATACTGAGACTAAATAAGGGAATGTCTTGTTTCTAAGACTGAAGAGTCATGATATCTGTAATCTACTCTCAAATAGCCTAACAACAGAAAATACTAGGAATATAATATGTGTATTATAGGTAATATATGTAAAGAAAGGTAAAGCAAATGTGAGAGAAAGTTAACAATGGCTGACTCTAGCTGAAGAATATATGGGAGTTCCTGCAACTTTTCTTAGGATCTAATTTTTTTTTTCAAAGCTGAAAACTTAATTACAAATTCACTCTAGCAGAGATATCAGAAACTTAATTTCAGTGTTATCGTGGTATCCAGTGGCATAAACATTTAGCAATATTGAGGGGGTAGCTACCAGTAGAAATGCGTCAAATAAAAGTGATTCTGTCTTTGGGAAAAAAAGGGTAGGTTTCAGAAATTGGGAAGGAGATCTATATATTTTTAAAGATAGACTTTAAAGACATAATCCTAAAGAAATACAGCTGATTTAATAGGAACCAGTGGAGGTAGCAATCATATAGTAGAAGGAGCACCCGACTCAAGAGTAGAAAGACATGGATTCCTGTCTTATAACATATTCTTGGTTAGGTTAATGCATCTCTTTGAGCTACAGTTTTTTCATTTGTAAACCTGGGATACCAGTTACTTCACAAGGTAGTTTGGTAGATCAATACAATTATGTATTAATTCCCTATACAGTACTAAAAGTACCATAGAAATGCAGCCTAATTTTTTAAAACCATGACTCGCCTCCCTTATTACCCGTAACATTTTTTGTGAAACCTATAGTAGATACTCCATTTGCAGTCTGTGTTTCCACCCACCATCAGGCCTCAAGTAGGATCCAAAACCTCTTCATTTTCCCACAAAAGAATTCCACTTGAGCAAGAAATTTTATTTTACTCTAGTAAAATAAAATACTTTGCTCGAGTAAGTAAAACATCTTATTGAAGAATTTTAGGGGAGACCAGGTTTTTAAAAAAATTTTATTTATTTTATTTTTTAACTACACATGCCCTAGCATTAAAAGGCATCAATATCCTGTCCAGAGGCCTCCTTCCGCTAGTTCTTCCCAAAACGCTTTGCATTTTTTGTTCCTCTTCTCTGGACTCTTTCTTGAATCTACCCCCTTAAGTCGCTCAGTCTCTTCCTTTCCCTTCTTCATGTTAGGCAACTTAATTCTTCCAATTATTTATTTCCAAAAAAAGATTTACTAGTGCCAAGATTCAATGTAATTTTGAAGGCAGCAGATAATTAAAATGACAAGTTTTTTTTCTTGCATACTTGTATTCTTGGGTCTATTTCTGAGCTTTCAGTTCTGTTCTGGCGACTTATCTTTGTGCCCAAACCTTCGGAGAGATGGAGCAGAAACAAGTCAGTGAGCCTAAAGAGAGCGCTCTCACGGCCTCAGTCTGCTGGACGCAGGCGCGGAAGATCCCCTAAGTCCCACCCACTCGGGGTATTTCCCTCCCCCTAAGCCCGTGGTCCGGAAACCATGGGGGCGGAAGAGGTGCTGGATAGGAGGCGGGTGGACGCGGTTCTCTCCGGAAGGGCTATGGCTTCTTTAGCCCCGCCCGCCTCGGTAGCTGCCTGAAGTAGTGCAGGGTCTGCCGGCGAGTTGCAGGTCATGGCCCTGGCCGCTCGACTGTGGCGCTTTCTGCCATTGCGACGTGGAGCCGCCCCGGGGCCTCGGCTCCCTGCGGGGACTTCGGGCAGCCGTGGGCATTGCGGCCGCTGTCGATTCCGTGGCTTCGAGGTACCCCCGCGGTCCTGGCTCCAGCTTCCCACCTCCTACCCAGTGGGTTCCTGCTCTCCCTTAACTTCTTCAGGGTTGGCGGCCCCGCGCTGCGTAAGGTTCTACGGGAATGTGGTGAACCGAGGAAGGAACTCGGGGCCACTGTGCCTGGAGCGCTTGGCCAGGTCCCTTCCATTTTGCAAACCTTCACTATCCTAAGCTGGGGCTGTCAGAGAAGGAGTGGGGTTTGCCCCCACGCGCCCCGGATGCTGCCTCCTACCTGCCCATCCTGTGCGAAACATAGAACAGGACGGGAAAGAACCTTGAGCGCTGTGAAATGATTCTCACTGTAGGCGACGACAGATACAGCAACAGCGCTTGAGGCTACAACTTTCAGACTTTGATAAGTGTGGGGTGTGATTTAAAAAATTCAACAACTCAGAAGCAGAGATTTCATCCTGTTTAGGTTTTTGTTTAAAAATGATTATTTCTGAGTTGCCTGTTTTATCTGCATGACGTCAGTGAAGGATGTCGGCATGTTGTATCAGTTCTGGTATTAGACTGCTCGTGGGCCTCTGTTTATTCTTGTCAGGGAATTGGGAATGGCATTAGTGTATATGACATATTTCACATGAACTAGGTGTTTCATTATTTTAAACTCAAATTTTTAACTGCTCAGTTAAAATCTTTCAGAATTGTTATGGGACTGATGGTGGGGAGGGGTGGTTAAAAGTTAGGCATATTCCCTTTCCTTGGAAGTTTATAACCAAATGGGGAGGTGATAGATAATATAGGCGGAGAGATGGGAGGAGTTCTAAGTATGAAACTAGTTAGCCTAAAGTTTTCAAATTAGAACAGTGAGTTTTAAGTCCCATTTTAGACCTGGTCCCTTGGATTAGCCTGCAATCCCAGCACTTTGGGAAGCCGAGGCGGAAGGATTGCTTGAGTCCAGAGGTTTCAAACCAGCCTGGGCGACACAGTGAGACCCTGTCTCTGCAAAAAAATTTAAAAGCCGTGTACATTTTTTATATGTAGTAATTACCATATTACTTGTCTGTAAGATTACTATATTATTCTTGTCTGTGTTCTTAATCTTGTCTGTAAGATTCATTTTTATGATGTGTTGGTGTCTCATATTTTACTTCATGCAATTTGCAATATTCATGCATTTGCAAATAAGTTGTAGCTCTTCCTTTCCAGCAGGAGTGTGATATCTTTTTCTTAATAAGATACGCTTTGAGATCGTTTTACTACAGATTTTGATGAAGTAATTTTTAAGCTTCCAATATCATGATCGATTGCTTTGGGGATGGGAGAAGATTAATGTAATTTTTACTTGGGGTAGCAGTACCTTCAGATTTTCAAAGTTTGTAACTCTTAACATAATTGTTTCCATAGGTAATGGGAAACCCAGGAACTTTCAGAAGAGGCCTTTTACTCTCAGCTTTGTCTTATTGGGGTTTTGAAACTTACCAGGTTATCTCTCAGGCTGCTGTGGTTCATGCGGCAGCCAAAGGTAAGCATAAATTAGATATATGGAACATTTAGAGTTTTTTTTTGTGTGTGTACATTCAGAATTTTTATTTTAATACAAATAATCAGGGTAACATTAATAATAGAAAATCCATATGGAAATATTCACTATCTACTCAGTGAGAAATGGGAAAACAACTTCCCTGTCTAACTGCCAACCTACTGTTTGAGGAGCCAGAAGTTGACGTGAAGTTGGAAGAAGGTCACCTTTTCCAGCTAAACCCCACTCCATAGCTATGTGCATTTTTATTTGAAGTCTCCACGACCAGCGGAAACAGTTGAGAACTGAGAACTAAAATACTGTTTTTGGCAAGGGTTTGGCTAAAGGGTCTGAGATGTGTTAGCACCAAGAAGGGAAAGAGAAATTGAGCAACATATGAAAAAGGGGCTGTAGGAACAAACACTGAAAAAATAAGTCAACAATAACCTATTTCCATCCAGAGCAAAGGGACGGTGCACATATATTCATCCTCTCAAGTGTGGGCTACACTGTACATTGACTCATACTATTTCAAACATGGTCTATTGGAAAGATTCAGGCCCCCTAAAGGCACTTGGCATAGGACCACAGTGATAAGGTAACAGACATAGACAAGCATGGCATGACCCTAAAGGCAACAACACAGCTTTAGATAATAAGTGTTCAGAAAAAAATCCCAGAGCTGAGGTTACAAATTCCAAGTTAGCTATAAACATTCTTTGGGGAATTCCTTTAAAGATATGAGTTGAAATAAAACAGAAAATCTCCTAAAGAACAAAATGGAGAAATAATGAATCTCTACCAAGAACCGATTATTTTAGGTTTCTCATTTGGATGGCTCTCCCACCAGATAGATGGTGGGATTACTTCAAAAGTAATGAGTCTACTACAAGGAGAGGCTGTTTGGTCCAGTGAGGGCGAACACGCTTTCTAGAAATAACTTTCTCTTCCCTCACCTGCATTCAAAATTAGGACCCATCAACCACCATTAACTACAAGGCCCGTATTAGTTAATAATCCTAGATTTCAAGTACTACTACGTGTAAACTATTATCTTAAAGAAAAAAGTTCCAAAGGAAATCAATAACTATTATATAGGTATATGACTTTTATGAGAAATTAAACTTAAGAGTTTCCATCTGCAGGACAGAAATTGTTAAGAGGTAACGTGCAGACCTCAGGCACCACATAGTATACCCTCCAATAATGAACTACGTTTCTCCCTAAATTCTTCGTATTGGACGCTAACCTCTCCAGCATGAAATCTTCTACTCTGTAACCGCTCTTTAAACACCTCCCTCTAATCTCAGTTTCCTTCTGTGTTTATTATTTAGCAAAATTACACTTAAAAAAATAAACATTTCCACCATGGCATATGTATACCTATGTAACCTGCACATTCTGCACCTGTATCCCAGAACTTAAAAAATTATGTAATTAAACCAGAGGGAGGGTGAAATAAATAAAACTGAAGTTAATTTACCATGTAGAGCTATACGGAAGTGAGGAAGGTGCCCTTACATAAACCCCCTCTGCCTTCCACACTCATGTGTGTATCTTCTTCGTGATAAGTCTGAGGTTTGGGGAACTGCGCCTTACTTTTCCTCTCCTATATCCCCTAGTGCGGCAATATTAGAAACCAAGGAAGGAAAAACTGGCCGAGTTGTCATATGCCAAGCGGCCATTGCCTCCTGAAATGAAGGTAGGTTCACGTGGTCTCTCTTAAGCAGAAGAGAATGTCTAGAAAATAAAATATTTAAAAAACCATTGAAAATCCAACAAACCACAGCCTTGAGGTGTGCATGGAATGCATGGGATAAGAAAGGAATCAGTAGCAGCATTCAGAAGCAGTCCTGGGTTCATCCTGATGACGTGTCTCCTTCGTTCAGGGAGAGGTGCCTTTCCCATGCTGGGAGGGACGTGGAAGGAGGCGTGACTTAGACATTGGTGGTGGTCTCCTTAGCAGCCTGGGTGCTGTTCATCTCCATGATGCCGTCCTTCCTAGATCTATTTGCACCATGTGCCTGCCCTTGAAAGGCCCATGTGATATCCTCAAAAGTCCTGCCACGGGTATCAGGGACTTTGAAGAAGGTAAAGGTCAAGAAGGTGATGAGGAAGCCGATGAAGATAAAAAACATAGGCTCCTAAACAGTAAGGAGCAGAGGGGAAGAGCAGTCCCACTAGGAAGTTGGAGGTACAGTTGGAGCAGCTGACCATTGCCATCGCAGCTGGGCGGGGGCCCTGGCTGAGGAGTTTGGCCACAATAAACCAGGGAATGGGACCTGGTCCAATTTCAAAGGCCACAAAGACCAAGATAGCCCTGATAAAGACAAAGCTCATCCCATTATACTCATCGTTTAATAACAAACAGTCATGAGCATGGAACAAAAAGCCATCCCTCCAAGACCTATCATATGCAGAGTCCTTCTTCCTGCCCTTTCCAGCAGAAATAGGGAAACTACAGTGAAGGTAGTATGAAACACACCTAGATGGTCGCTTGAACACCTGCATCCTTGAAGATTCCTGTTGAGTAATAGAACACAGCATTGATTCCAGAGAGCTGCCGAGAGAGCTGGAGCACAATTGAAATGATGATTGGGTCTCGGTAGCTGGATACTCTAAAGAGCTCTAGCACGGTTACTTGCTTTTCTTGTGACATCTTTGCACTCTCATCTTGCATCTCCTGGATGTCTTGGGATACATCCTGGATGCTCCACAATGGCTGGAGGATCTGCTTAGCATTCTCCTCTTCTTTTCTGTTAATGAGGAAAAACCTGGGACTTTCAGGGCAAAATGGAAGGGCTGTACTTTGTAGGCTAGCAGGAAGGATGGGAAAGCCCAATAGCACCAGCCATAGCTCTTCAGACCCAAGGATGAATTCCAGACCAATGATTTGGGCCACCAGAATTCCGACAATGATGCCCAGCTGGTTGAGAGTGCCAAAGGTACCCTGCAGGGCAATAGGTGAGATCTCTCCAATGTACATGGGTACAAAACCTGTGCACAGTCCGCAGAAGAGGCCAATAACCAAGCAGCCCAGGATCAGCATTTCAACCAACTCAGCTACTTTACACAATCCCATAAGGCAGCCACCAGAGACAGTCAACAGGTTGACGATAAGCATTGAATTGCAGCTGTGAAAGTGGTTGACAAAGAGTCAAATGGAAAAGGAGCCAGTCATACCAACAACGGAGAATATGGCCACAGACAAAGACCAGAGGGACATGAGCAGTGTCTCAGAGGCAGGGGTATTTGCCTGGTGCCTCAAAGTGTTATTGATAAATTCCTTTATGATCATCTCAGGAGCTTTGATGACCCCAGTGTTATAGCCAAATTAGAAAGAGCCGATTGTAGCAACTGTGATGGCGAAGATCAGAGCTGGGGTGACCTTCTGTGTCCCCATGGCCCTAATCTAATTCTTTTCAAGTCTTCAAGAAAGATCTAGGAGTGTGTCAGAGGTGGGAATTGAACAGTGAGAACACTTGGACACAGGAAGGGGAACACCACACACGGGGGCCTGTTGTGGAATGGGGGGAGCGAGGAGGGATAGCATTAGGAGATATACCTAATGTAAATGACAAGTTAATGGATGCAGCACACCAACGTGGCTCATGTATACATATGTAACAAACCTGCACGTTGTGCACATGTACCCTAGAACTTAAAGTATAATAATAAAATTAAAAAAAAAAAGATATAGGAGTGAGATTGCAGACACCTTTTTCAGCCAATAAAACCTTCAAATTGTCCTCAGCAACAGGTTTTCTCCAGGTCCTCAGGAATGCTCTAAACTCTCACCATTACAGCATCTCTCAAGTTATTTTTGCTTGTTATTTTGTTAATAGCTTAGTTTTTTTTTTTGAGACAGAGTCTTGCTCTGTTGCCCAGGCTGGAGTGCAGTGATATGATCTCGGCTCATTGCAACCTCTGCCTTCCAGGTTCAAGCCATTCTTCTGCCTCATCCTCCTGAGTAGCTGGGATTATAGGTGCGCATCACCACAGCTGGCTAATTTTTGTATTTTTAGTCGAGACCGGGTTTCACCATGTTGGTCAGGCTGGTCTCAAACTCCTGACCTTGCGATCTGGCCGCCTTGACCTCCCAAAGTGTGGGGATTACAGGCGTGAGCCACTGCGCCTGGCCTAGCTTAGTTATTTTTATATAGATAATGAAGCTAATATTGCTATGGTCTGGATTATTTTCTGCCTTTCTCTACTTGTCAGTCTAATACCATACATACATTTTTTCCCTAGAAATTAGAGCTGCCTCAGCGATGCTTTATTAATAGTTTATCGATGCTTTATTAATAGTTTATATTTTTGTAGAGCCCTTTACCTAAGAATTCAGAATATTCTTTTACATTTTTAAAGGGTTGAGTTTGAAGAGCTAGGGGGAAGAAAAAGGACATGCTACAGAGACCATGTATGGCTCACAAAGCCTGAAATATCGTACTCTCTGGATCTTTACAGAAAAACGTTTGCTAATCCCTGCTTTATAATGACAAAATGAAACCAATCCCAGGGTGTTATATTCTTGATATGGTTAACAAAAGGCCCAAGTACTTTGAGATAGATAGATTTTTATTTACAAACAGAATGCTGCTTGGTAAGTAACAGGTTGAAAGTGAAAAAAAGAAAAATCCATCACATTTTTTATTGGCATAATATAGATAAGTAAACATATATTAAAACTTGACTGGGCGTGGCAGCTCATGCCTGTAATCCCAGCACTTTGGGAGGCTGAGGTGGGGGGATCACTTGAGCCCAGGAGTTTAAGACCAGTGTAGGCAACAAATTGAGACCCCCATCTCTACAGAAATTGGAACAATTAGCTGGGTGTGTGGTGCGTGCTTGTCCCAGCTACACAGGGGGCTGAGGCAGGAGGATCACTTGAGTCCAGGAGGTCAAAGTTGCAGTAAACTGTGGTCTCACCACTGCACTCCAGCCTGGGCAATGGAGCAAGACCCTGTCTCAAGAAAAAAAAAAAAAAAAAAAAAGACTTGCCA